GCAGAGGTTTGTATAGAGCGATCAATATCCCTCCTGAAGTGTACACTTCAAGAAAAGGACAATTTTAGACACGAGTCTTTTTGGACAAAAAAAAAGAGGAAAAAATGAAAATAATGGATATTTTTTCAGATGTTAATACGTTTTTTATAAAAACATATCCTGCCCTGTTTCTTTTATTCTTCATCACTGCCAGGCATAACGCACAGGCAAGGAAATAGCGTGTTTGCTGTGTGTTTTAGTCTTTACGTTTTTGGGTCTTTCTCTTTTTTCATAACTTGTCTTGGAAACAATATTTCGATTATTGGTGCCCATGTATATGACTGTAGGCTCAATAACCTCTCCTACCCTCAAGTTAGGCCTTAAATAAGGAGAATAAATCCCTGTTTTAGTTATTTTCAACGCCATCTTGACTGTGCCTGGGCCTGTTAGGGACAATTGAGTGAAATTCCACCCATCTTTGTTTAGGAGGAGAGAAGGTTCTGACTTTACTTCAGATTTCTAGTTTTATGCAGTGTATTGCAGTATCCCTGTACAGTTAGTATTCCCTCCTGACCTTGTTTTGAGCAGTCTGTCCAGACCCTGGATCAGCCTTATTAGGAGCTGACAGACCTGTAGGTTAGATAAGCTTCATCAACACCAAATAAATCACTTTAATGCCAGGGTGTTAAAAACTGGTTTAAACCTTGTTTTTCGGCCTAAAATGTCTCCGTCTCCTCCAGGCGTCCTCCCTCTGCTTCTGTATTTTCTCTAACGCTACCCATGTGGAGTTTAGTGACACACAAGGACTCCGTGCTCAAACAAAAACATAGGTTTAATTTGGCGGAGCTATTCCAGGCAGGGTTAAGACAACACAGTGTTTCTGGGGCCCCCGCTTATAATGACTTCCGCCCTCATGAGAAAATATTTGGATGGTGTTTGAATGGAAAAATATGCAAGTATATCTCCTATTCTCACACAAAAAGAAATTACTTGACCTCAATTCCTCTTTCCTTTCAAATGAGCTCATCTTGACATAAGAACAAGGTCTAGTGTGGTCAAGAGAGCACCCATGTGGCATTTATTTAAGAACATTTTGGAGGTTTATTAACATCCAGTCAATCATCTGAAAATATTAGCCAGACGGTATTTGTCATTCTTCTTTCAAATCCCTCTGAACTGGAACAGTCAGTGTTTGTTAATGTTTACTTTATCCTCACATGCCTGATACTATTTATATGTAAAAAGATACAGGGTAGGTTGAGCTGAGAAGTACATGGCCGAAAAGGCTGCCAGGATAGCAGAAGGATGAAAGTCCACCTCCATTGTTTGTCCAGTGAGTCACGCACCACACATACATGTGGGTCTGATGCTCTTAGCCGACAAACTGATCACAGTCTGTGACCTTTGCCCTTGTTAACCCCCCCCCCCCGTCGCCACGGGCTCCGATCAGATTGGATAGTTTGGGGGAGGGTTTATTTTTACACAGCCGTGTTGTCACTCAAGCCTCATACTGCCTGTATTTCCCAATACCTCATTGTACTCCATTTTCTCCTCGTGTCCTGGGTGTAGGCCCCCTGAGTCTAGACACATAATATAGATGTTTGTGTGTGTTTACTGTAAATTAGATGTGTTTTTTTTGTTGTAAAAAGCCCTGGTGTTAATGTCATTATCAATAATCAGTCCAATTACCATAACCTTATTCGATACAAGCTTGGCAGTGCTTTCTTAAAATAACGAAAATCAAATCACACATACATACTCACCAGACACACACAAATGAACCCATTCAGCCAAAACCTCATACAAACTCCACACTCACCTGCCCTGACCTCAGATTTTTGGTGACAAACCCATGACAGATACCTCACTTTGAGTTTCGACGTCTCCGCTGAGGTCATGACTCATTTGCAATTTTTCCAGCGAGGCCAGGGGAGAGGTTAGGTTGTTTTGTACTGTCCAAGCAAAAAAAAAAACAGAACTCAAAATGTGCTCTTAAGGCGAAAATCATCACAACCCAAATTCTGTTTTTTGTACTACCTCTGCAACACACTAGAGATTCTTACTGATTCTGATATGTGCCCCAGTAGGTAAATATGATTATTCCTTGATCATTTGAGGTGATTTTGGGGCCAAGAATAAAAATGAAAAAAACCTGCGGAGCTATGGGCAACTGTTGAGGCAGCTGGGCAGCTGTCAGGGTGTTGCATGCACCAGGGAAGAATCATTCAAGTGTAGCAGTGATTTAGCTAGAAGGCGAAAGTCCAGACAGACAGATTTTATATCCTTTGTCTGTTAAATTGATTTGTTAAGCTGTAGACGAGGTATCAAAGCCCGAGAGACTAATAAAGTAGCTGTTTTCGTAAAAAGTTGTTGGAGGGTAAAAAAGAAGAAGCTCCAAAACAGTAGATGTGCGTCATTGTTTTGTTTTGAAAAGGGGAGAAAATGACCATTTTAAATTATAGCCTGCATTCACTGATAAACACTGTTATTGTTTATCCTAACACAGGTGCAGGTCTAAAAAGAAACTACCCCCACCTCTCTGTTTCTCCCTTTATTGATGCTTTTCACACTCTCTTTCCCGTACATTACGTCACCTTCGACAGGAAATGAGATGCCTCAGCCCAAGGTGTTAAGAGACGTCTTCTTGGGGGCTTTTATTTCATTATCCTTTTACTGCCATTCTCTATTCATATTTATTTTATTTTTATTTTTTATGGTCCAAAGGACACAATTGATTTGGGCACACAGACAGACGAAACATTAAAACACATTTGCTTTATTTTCCCATGCAAGGTTATGCAATAAAAGGCTCTCTCAAGGCAACACATGTGGTAAATTTGTGGGTACATGCTGCCTCCCTGTGGCCTCTAAAGGTACATTCACAGTTCATGTTCTGCACACTAGATGTCAACATTTAGCACATCTGTGTTCATGTGAGGGTAGAAGGACGAGGAGTTATTTGTATGAACAGAAAATCTATTTAAGCATCAGTTGAAATGTTGTTATTCAGATATCTCAGTCAGGCTGCTTCTTGGATCATAATCCTGTTCTTATAAATATTAGAGCCGCCTCAAAGACAATAACTATCAATTATTTTTCTCAAGTCATAGCCTATACTCCAAAGCTATGATGATAAAAAGTTATCTCTGTTCATCTTAGTTGTTTGTGTGTGTAAGCCCTTGCAATATCCATATTTCTAATACAGATACGCATTCCCACTCAAAATGACAGAATCAGACCTTGGGATAAAAAGGCCTGGCCTTGTTAGCTGACGTGTTGGACAGTGTGACAAAAACACAAAAGAAAATAGACAAGAACTTGATATCTGAGATAAAGAGTGTTGTAAAATACAGTGCAGCTGAGAAGGAAATTTAAAAAATAAAACCTTTCTCATTACTTTTAAAGTAGATGCACTTTGAAGGCTCGATACGCTGTGGTACTATCAGATCTGAAACAATCGATAAATCAACGGTCAGACATTTTAACTGCAACCATTTTGATAATGGTTTACTTGTTGAATCAATTTTTCATGCAAAATAAAGCATATTGCTGGTTTTAGCCTATCAGATGTGAGGATTTGAGATGAGTGAAACTTTGAGATTGCCACCTGTATGGATCTTTTCAGTATTTTTTCGACAGTAGTACTTACAAATATAGTCACTACGTTGTTAAAACGAATTTCACACACACCTTGCTCAAGTTTTGTCTACACACCAGAGTTGAATCAAGTTCATTTTTCTGGTATAATAATAGCTTTTAACCACATCTGAAAAGTAACTCCAAACCTTATAATGAATCAAACCTGTGGCCAGGTTTCAAAGGTCATCATTCTTTGATCATTCAAAGGGAATGACAAGAACATAAAGCTAACCATCACATGTATATAGAGCCACTCATTAGCACCATCAGTTCCCTGACTTCCTGATGTACAGCACATTATTAGCATTTAGGTCAAAGGCTGATCAGCTTCCAGAGCTACTTGTCACCCTCATATAAGCACTGAGATGTTAATGTCTCCCCACCGGAGCAAACAGAAGCCACTGTAAAAAACAACCGTCACCTCTGACCCCTCTTCCCCTCAGGTTGCCCCTCGTTCCCGCTATTGATCCTCCAGATTCCTCCGATGTCGAGGGTGAGTGTGAGAATCCTCTTCAAGATAAAGGCATTTGAGGAGTCATTACCTGTGTCTCAGCCTGAGTGTGTGTGAAAACTCTCCATGAGAGGGCCGCACACTCATTAAAGTCATTTGTGAGCGGTTCAAAGGTTTCAACTATTTCTTCTGGTCTCCGTCCGTGCAGAGAGGCAGGTGCAGGGTTAACTGGATAAATGCAGGAATTCAGCTTTGACATATAAGGAGGCTGCAAACACGTCAGGTAAGCAAATCTCATAAATCAAGCTGGGCAATGCATTATTTTAAACTTCTATTTTTTTCACATTTTTGCTGTTTTCCAATATAATCTAATTCATTTTCTGTTCGACATTGCATTTGCTTCCCACCGAACCAACTGCTGTATATTTAAAAAATAATAAATTGCAATTTTTTTTCTTTTACTACATGGATTTAAGTTGTGAAAGGCAGATATTTCATAAAGGTGACAACATACAGGCTGTTATTTGGGCTGTGCCTCTGAAAAAAAAGTATGTTTTTGAAGTCATTCCCAGATATAGACATGTTTGACATTCCTTGTTTTCGTATTCAAAACAAGAGCTTGCGTTTTTGAACAAACTAATAAAAGTCCAAAAACAGAAATCTGAATGGAAATTTTTGGGATTTCTGAGAAGTAATACTGCAAATATAGCACTGTCAACACTGTAACCATTTTCTACAGCTGTAATTAATAATTTTCTTCTAAGTATGATTGTAAAACGGTTTGATTTGAAACAGAACTGCAATATTAAAGAAATATCATCAAAATGATTTAAAAAGGTACATTTTAAAAGTGCAGTTCACTCTTTTTCTACAATTATTTATAATCTGATCTCATCTTATCTTTTTTCATTGTGTTCCTTTAACAGACACAATGAAGGTCCTCTCGCTGATGCTTATATTCCTCACAGTTTCTGGATATTCATATGTGTTGCAACCCAGTAAGTATACAATTTGACCTATTAAACATTTTAAGCTTTCAACTAAGTGCTTAAGTATTTGTATGACTTTGAAATGAAGATATAATCTGTTACTAATTATCACACTCCTACTAAACAACAGGTCATTAACACATCCATGCTAATTATTTCACAAGCCTTTAAAAGGGGAACACTGACTGTTGTATTTGCATCTTGATTTGGTCTTTTGAAATAAGGGTGTCTTTTGCATAACATTTTATTGGAGTGAACTACCGTAATGTTTGCTCTGCATTGTAGGATTGACAGTGGCCCAGGTAGCTGAGCTGGAGAGAGACCAGTCTGATATGACGAGTGAGCAGCTGGGAGATGTTTCACTATCAGTGGAAGAAGAAGAGAAGGCTGGAGAATTGACTGAGGAAGGGAAAACTGGGGGGAAAAAGATGGGTGGGGGCTTGACTCCAGAGACAAATTCAGAAAGGAGGATGGCTCCTGATGATGAAACATCTCAGAAAAGTGATCAAATGGATCAACTGAAGCAAGAAAAAGTTGAAGAGGAAAGTGAGAGCAGGCTGGTGGCGGGGATCGGTCTTCACGAGGAGGCTAGAAGGGAAATGATAACTGTAAATCAACAAAATGTGGAAGAGAAAGGAGGAAATGGAGGAATAGAAGATCACATGGTAGTTAGCGACCTCACACCTCCTTTTAGCACTTCCTCTACTGAAGTACAGGAAGAATTAATTATTCCTGCCACAATTCAAATTGTCACTCGGTCTCAAAATCCTCCTGGCTTTCCTCCCCCTGATAATCATCATAATGTCCCTCAATCACAAGTATCCTCTGATCCTCCCACCGCTTACGCCAAAGTTAGCCCTCAGTTCTTTCCTCCTCCTGTCACTCTTCCCAGTCCAACAGAAATCAGTCACATGTCAGCCTCAACAGTCCTTCCTGGTTCTGTTCTACTGCTTGAAGATCTTCTTACTGAGGTTTGGAAGACTCCTGGACATCATCTCAAGCAGAAGGAATTGGAAGTTAAGTCTAGTCCGCATTTAGAGGATGCAGAGCTTAAAAATATATTGTTTAAACCTGCACGGAAGGAGATACAAACCACCGTTGTTCAACCAAATCATAATACTGGATCGGTGCAAGCAGCAACGCCAAAACCAAAAGAGTCAACGTTTATTACCAAAGAAGTAAATCCCACACCAAGATCAAATGAAAATAATGTCGTGGTCAAGCTTAATCCAAACATGACCCGGCCCTCAAATAATACCACCAAACCTAGAGTGAAGCAAAATAGAGCATCTCCTCCTCAAACACCACTCACCAAAGTTTCAGCTAAACCGCGGCAGACAACGGCAAAAACACCTTCAGCGAAAAACAGTAGTAAAAATAAGACAATTAAGAATTCCAAGGATAAGAAAAGGAAAAAGGACAATAAAACCCAAAAGCCACCACAGAAGAAGAAGGTCGTAAAACCAACAACCTTTCCTTACTTCAAGGATAACTACTGTCCTCCTGAGTGTGCCTGCTATGGAAGGTAAGCTTAATAATACTTTATAAGACTTAATAGATCCACTGTTATTATGCTTTCCAATGTAAGAAATGTTCTTCTGCTTGGTCAGACAAAATGAGCAACCTTAAGATATCATCTTAAAAGTTATGAATTTGATATTCAGAGCATAACTATTGACGCAAACAACTATTGCACTGGAGGTTTTCTCGTGTGTGATTTGTCACATTGGTTTCATTAAATCATTATTCCTTATAATGTATTATGTATTGTTTTCTAGGGTGGTCCAGTGCTCAGACAAAGGTGTGGACAAGGTTCCTTACGGTATTCCCTATAACTCCCGCTACATCCTCCTCATGAATAACCATATCGACGTCATCCAGCTGGACCTGCTCAATGAGTACGTCTCTATGGAGTTCCTAGTGTTGAGCAACAATCGTCTCAAGGATGAAACCATAGAGGGCGCCTTCGAGGGGATTCCGGCTTTGAAGCGCCTCTACCTGAATACAAACCTCCTAATCAGTGTTCCGGCTGATCTTCCCATGTCTCTCGAGGAGCTTCGATTGGACAACAATCATCTGATTGTGATGTCTGAGGCAGCCTGGGCTCGGTGCCCCGGCCTCTTGATTTTGAGTCTGAGTAACAACAGCCTGGGGAATGGATCTGAATGTCTTCCTAACGCAGTGCTCTCTCCTTTGAGCAGCCTGCGCACTCTGAACCTGGATCACAACCAGTTGACTTCAGTTCCTCTGGGCTTACCCCTGTCCATCAAGCAGCTCTACCTCAAAGGGAACCTCATTGAGCAATTCCGTGGAGGAGCCTTCAATGGGAGATCAGAGCTGATGGTGTTAGATCTGAGTTCAAATAGATTGACAAACAAGGGTCTTCTCAAGGATTCTCTTCTCAATGCAACACACTTGGAAAGCCTCAATTTGGAGGGGAACAGACTCAAACAAGTACCACAACACCTTCCCAGCTCACTTAAAACTCTAAACCTAGAGGGAAACCTTATATCTTCCATAAAGAAAATGGTTTTCGGAACTTTGAAAAACCTGGAAAACCTGGGTTTAGCAAGGAATAAAATCTTCAAAGTGGCACCAGGGGCCTTCAAGACATTGCCAGTCCTTCATCAGTTGGACCTGTGTCACAACACTTTGCGCCAGGTTCCCAGACAGCTCCCTAAAGCTCTGCACTCACTCGCCCTCACCCACAACAAGATTCAAACAGTGCCTCGGGATGCTTTCTGCTGGGGTAATCAAAGTTATAGTCTCAGCGGGCTTGTTCGAGTGCAGTTGGAACACAATTTAATCGATATGGGGAAGTTGGATGCGCAGGCTTTTAGGTGCCTACGGGGTTTCCAGGTGGTGCACTTCTACTGAACCTCCAAAAGAAAAAAGCAATCATGCTGCTTTGCTGACCTTATCCAAAACCTGTGGTGAGTGACGTTGCTATGCCAGAAACCAATGGTATAACTGAACATTTGAATCAGAAATATATATATTATGTGTGAAATGTAATGTATTATATGCACCCAATCCAAGCCTCGCTCTTTGGCTGATTTTATGACGTTAATTCTCTTTTCCGAACTAGTCAGAGAACACTGGATTACACTTGCAACAGGAATAGTTTAACAAACCTAAGTAACCAAACTTGTGATATAGTCAAACTTCAAACTTTCTTATCAGCATCTCCAAAGCAGAATTATTTTTTGAAGATTTGTATTGCAACTTTTAGTTTCCATCCATTGAAGCAACATGTATAGAAGGTTGCCTGAGATACGCAATCTGAGACACATTTATCATTTTTATTTATTTTCCATTTACTGGGAAAACATTGTAGTGGTCAGCTGTCATTCGACAGAAAGCCGATATGGATAATGTGAAAAGGGGGATGCAACAGGAATTCTCAAGATGTTGGTGCTCGCACTTTGTCAAAAGAATATTTGTTGATATTTATTTAAATGATTTGCAAGGTGACTTTCATTCCACAATGAAATAAGTAAATCCCTGTAAATGATTCTGGAAATAGCTTGCTTTTTATACAAGCCACATACAATTTGTGTACATATCATGTGTTTGTGTGTTCACATGTACATGGTGTAAATGTTTAGTGTAGGAAATCAGTAACTCATAATGTATCCAGATATGTACAAATAAGCTTGCTTTTTTTTCTCAAAGTGTGAAACCTTTGTATGAACAATACATTTGTCATTGTAATTGTTCAAGCTCATATAAGTGGACATGTGAAAGTTGAGGCTGTTTGGGGTTTTAAAAAAAAGTATTCACTGTCTCACCCTTTCATATGTTCATATTATTTCCCTGTGAGCGAATGGGTTGCAAATCACACCACATATGTGACTTGGTTCATGGTGAAAAGATGATGTGGATAAAATAAAGTATGCATGTAGAACAACTTCTGCTCGATTTAATATTGCAATAGCTTGTCAACAGAAAACATGTTATTTAAATAAGTGGGATGATGAATGGGCTCTTTGTCTAAGCCTTTTGCAGGAAAAGAAAAAAGGGAATCTAAAATATGGTGGCTAGTGAGCTGCAGTAAAGATTTTGTCTTCCATGAATCAAAGTTCCCCCTGATGCTTTCTCACCAAACCAGAGGAGCTTTTAGGAACTGAGATATAAATAGGACAGGACAGGTGATTCAAATCATTGAGCAATCAGTTTGAACATAGAAGTAGAGTCCATAGATCATTCCATCAGCCATATGTTCACATTTTTGGAAATGTATTAAACAAAAAATGGAAAACAACAGAAGAAGAATGACTGCGAAGAAAAACCTCTAGGTGGCAAAGAAAGATGTGCACAGAAGAAAACAGAACATAATCACAGTTACACGTAAAATATCTAAGGTGGAGTAAAGCTTTGTAACAAGCATCCCTGTAAAAACACATAAATAGCACATTTCAAAACTTTAAAGCCAAGTGACAAAAATACAAGAACATTTGTTGTACTCATGGTAAACGTTTATAGTATCTGAATTTAAAACCACAAAGGACTTCATACCCTCTCAATACACTCTATTTTTACTATCGTGACTACGATTGTTGGTTTTTAAAATTGTTTTTTAAGGGAAAAAGTCGACAAGGTGTCAACTTTTTATATTGCTCTTTTTTTAACATTCAAAGGAACACAAACTAATTTATTTTTGGCTGAAATTGCCAAACACATCCTACAGGATTATTAACTGTATGTTAAAGTGTGCCGTTTCAGCTATCCTCAAGTTGGGTTTTGATTGAGATGTCCTTTGTTTGTTTAACCCCTGGCTGGTGAAAAAAAGACGGAAATATTAGCTGGCAGGAGTGACAGTTTAAAGCTCCACAGTTAGTTTTCCAAAGCTAATAAATAGCTTTACCGTACCGGCCCAAATGTTCCACTGTAGGCATTTTCCATAAACAAATTCCATATCAGTCTAGGTTGTTATTTTTCTCCCATATTTGGGCAGCTATGATCCCCTTGGGGATTCTCATGACGACAGAAATATCATTAACTTTGTCAGGATCTCGGGGCTGTCAATTGAACAGTGTTGAACAAACAAATCAAGCAAATGGTGACAAGACGATACCCATTACACAAAAATGCACCCTATCTTTGTTGCAATACTTTTTTATAAATCCAATCTGTGATATAAAATATTTTTTTGTCATCTATAACACAGAAGTATAAAGAGTGGGTAATATGAAGTTGCCTGTTCCATGAATAAACAAGAAAAAGTAACTATGAGACGATTTTATTGCCAAAACTGATGTGTTTTTTTGCTAGTGCAGCATGTACCTGTGGTCACTCTTTCTGTCTCACAAAGTTCACATGCAGTAAGGTTTTGTAAACGTGCTGATATAAAAGACTTAGTTATTACATATGAATGTGTTGGTAACAAAATGTCCACTAGATGGCAAGAATGTATAAGGAAATAGTTTTGTGCCACCATACAGAAAATATGAGGAGCTTGAATATGGCTCTTTTCCCAGTCTACAAATGAGAGATTGTAGAAATTAAAACGCATATTCGTCAGGAAGTTTATCTTGTGGTGTGGGAGGAGGTATATTTAAACGCTTACACCAGACTGGAAACTCAGCTATGCTAGCACAACACATTTAAACACTCATCGACACACAGGCATGAGTCATTTTTGGAACATTTTGGGGACTTCTTTTGCAATAAAGTGAAATTATTTGACTTAACCAAAATCCTGAAGAAAATTACATAATAGAAAAGAAGAAGTGAAAAAGGGTTTTCCCCTGATTTGAGAAAAGCAGATGAAGGCAAAAGTGGAGAAAAATGCATAAGCCCACGTGGAGGTGTTTAGCGCTTTTTCTCTCTTTTTCCCTCTCTTGCTCGCTTTAATAAGTTCACTCAGCAACGTGGCACTGCACCCATAGGGCCTGGGAAAGAGGAGCAGGAGGAGGGGGACGAGAGGGAGGGCTGGGAGAAGGGAGGAAGAGGAGAAGGGGGAGTGAAGAAGAAGAAGAAGAAGAAGAAGAAGAGAGTGAAGGGGAGGAGGGAGGGCTTGAAGGATGGATCCAGGCTCAGCGCGTGTCCAGAAGGGGAGCGCTTTGGCGGGACAGGGAGCTCCCCAGCACCTCCCTACGGTCCAGCAGGACCAGGACCCTGTATCACTGCACCACATGTCTACCTGGATCCACTGGAATCCTCCTCCCCTCTTTGTGTCTCCTTTTACTCCCTCTTCCTCGCTCTCCGTCTGTTTTTTCTCTCTTTTTCCCTCGCATATTTTCTGCTTTTCACTCAATCACATTAGATCGTGTGCATGCACTACCTGCGTGCACACAGTCGTCTGGTGTGCGTGCGTGGGAGTCTCTGACGTAACGATCATGTGAACTGCTCCCTTGACAGAGACTGAAACCATGTGCTTATTTAAGTAGTTTGGCAGACGGTGAAATTATCTGTGTAACTCCGAATCCTGTGCTGGATACAGTCTGATATTAAGCTTATCCCGACAGGAGGTGCGAGGGATTGGTGGTAATAGTAAGGGTGCACGCTTATTACCACCATCTCTTAGGTTGTTTTTGTGTCAGTGTATAACCCATCTGCCAGAGTTACCTGTGTTCCCAAGCTTTCATTCTCTCTGGTTGTCTAATTTCTGACCAAAAGAAACACAAAATTCAAGCCTTGTTGAGTTTCTTTTGTTTTAATGCTGACCACGTTCTTACAGGAATCAGAGCAAGACAGTGGGAACACACAAAAGGAACAGAGGGGAACAGGATATTAAACCACACCCTACATGAGAGCCAGCGGGACAAACAGAGAAGCAGACAGAGTTGTGATACTATTCAGCTGACATTCTTTCTCCTGATATTTATGATTCTTAGAGGCCTACTTGCCATGAAGGAGCTGGCAATATAGTTCATATTTCTTCATTAAATGTGTAGGCCCAAATCGACGGCTTTTTAACACGAATACTGTAATTCTAGGAGGTAACTGAGAGACATTTGAACTTGTTTGCTGCAGCTAGAATTTTATAGATAACACATAAATGGGAAGTTGATTTGTTGGTACTTTGTGGCTTTGTGTCAGTTCTTTCACATACATTAATTGAACACAGTTGTAATAAAGGAAATAAATAAAATACAGATTCAGTTCTACTGTGTATAGATGATTTCCCATGTGTGTCTCTCTTTTTCTCTTTCGCACACACATTTCTCTTGCTGTACTGTACTGTGAAAACCTCCCAGTGACTTATTTCAGCCCAACCCAAGATTTACACCCAGCTATCTCAGCCAATCTAGCCTTAAACTTCAAATCAAAACAAGCCTTAACTGTAACCTCGAGCCTGAACTCCAAAGCTAGGATTGACACCAATGACCTCAATCTTCACTCACACTTAATGTCAAAAGGATATAAATGTCCCTGTGAAGGGTTAAAATGGCAGACTGTCTCCTTCTCACAGCAGAGTGCTATTGCATGTGTGAGAGGGAGGTGGCGCCTGAGTTAGCCGAGAGAAAGGGGTGAAACGGAGAAGGGAAAAAGAAGGAACAGAGGGAGGGGAGAATGAGAGGGAGGAGGGGATAGAGAGAGAAACCATGGGAGCCAGAGGGACCTCAAGACACACATACACCAACAGCCCATCTGCTCCTGGTCTGGACCTGCACTGACAAAACACACACACGCACACACACATGCAAATAAGCACAGGAGCATAGCTCTTACAGTTTTCGCACAAGGTCACACAAGCACATGGGTGGAAATCTATTTCATTCAATTGTACTGTTTTAAATATACAAATATACAAAATATACATTTTAAAAAATATCCAGTGAAGTGTCCACTGCCATTGCTCGCATTCATGCACACGTTGTACACGTGCACTCTGTTTTCAGGGGCTCCACAAGAGGGCCTGCAGTATTGTG